AACATGGATTGACTCTTTGGCTATTCAACCAGACTAGCGTTCCTGGGCCAGATCCCACTCGTCCACGGTGTATTCTGTCTTCCTCTCTGTCCCTGCGCACATGTGTTCTGCCTCTGACTCCAGGTGACGGGCTCTGAAATTTTGGAAGGCACCTAATTTTTAAATAATGATTTTTAAAAACGGTAATGTCTGGTTTTTAAAAAAACATTTTCATAATACAAGCACTCTTTCAGCAACTGAAAATTCGAGCTTAGCATTTATGTAGTAAGAATAATTAATTAAAATGGAAGCCACCATGTACAATTTTACCTGTCAACTTGGCTAGGCTACGGTGCTGGCGTAGGGTAAACACTAGCCCGCGGCTGCTGGGAGGGTGATTACCCAGGGACTAGCCCCGTGATAATGTGGGTGGGCTTCCTCCAATCGGTTCAGGCCTTAAGAGCGAGCACTGAGGTTCCTTGGAGGAGGAATTCTGCCTCAAGACGTTGACACAGAAATCCTGCCTGAGGGTGTCCAGTCGGCCGGGCTGCCCTCCAGATATCAGACTCAGGACTCCACGTCGGCTGCTGTCTAAGTCGCCAGCTTGCCGGCCCGCCCTACAAATTTTAGACTTGCCAGCCCCCACAATCACACGAGCCAATAACTGTTACATATACTCATTTATTCTCTTGCTCTGGAGAATCCTGACTCACACAGCCACCGAACACCTTGTGCTGCTGATGGGCCCTCTGGGCTCCACACAGCGAATGACCAAGGTGATCTGGGGGCTTCTGTCCTGCTGCTCGCCATGGGCATGAAACGCGCCGGGCACAGGACCAGGGTCCGTGCACTGGCGCACAGCGCGGCGCCCAGCCTGCAGCAGAGGCGCACGGGCGGTGACGACGAGAAAGAGAAAAGGGACGCTGAAGAACAAAAGAGCATAACCGCCATCACGCAAGACAAAATCCAGAAGTGAAAGCAAACAGTCTGGGCTCAATGAAGTAATGTACAAATAAGAAAAAAACACTGGAATTTCCTTAAGTAGCAGAGTTACCACCTTTCAAGTGTTTAAAAAATAACAGCAGCATTTGAACTCTTGATCTCAATGACTTCCTCATTAAACAGAATGACAGTTGGGGGTTTTTCTTTTCCTGGTATTAAATGCATTGACTACAAATTTCAGGAACCTACTTAATTTCAGTTAAAGTACCAACCAGACTGTGGCAGAATCAAATAATTCTTTATTAGGTAGTAAATGCCATACTTTTAAGTGTCTCATTTTGAAACTAACATTAAACGGATGCTCCTAAAAGCTAAGGGAAACTTCTCTATGTGACAGGCAAAGACTTATCGCCCCCGTTTTACAAACTGCTCCTGCCACAGGACCAACCTACGGGACGAGCACGTACGTGCACCAGCACAACAGAAGTGGAGAGCAGCAACGCGAGCCGCTCAGGATTCTGACGACCGTCCTGAATTCCTGTAAGAGGTTTACCTCTTAACACGTGAGCAAAATTAATTCCTCCTGTTCTTCAGTTTGCTCAAATACGCAGTGGGAAGCGCACTAGATTGATCAGATACTGAATTAAAATAAATTAAATGGTCTTTATAGCATGCCTTTGCTTCCTGGATAGAGAAACAGGCCTAAGAGCCGCCTGTTAGCAATGCGATACCCCTTTCACAAGATGGGCAGGCGGGCATTAAAAACCATCGCTCGGCAACGCCAACCCTTGCTAAACACACGATCTGTGGAAAGAAGCAAAGACGTTAGGAAAGTATTTAATAGCATGTTCAGCTTCTAACTCAAAAACGACCAAGCCCAAAACAAATGCAGAAGAGCCCTACATAAATGCCTTTCTACACTAAGGCAGGAATATTATAGAGAAACAAACAGCCACCATTTCTCCTGTTACTTAAATGATCAGTGTTCATATCGCTGCATGGTTTGTAATGGTGAAAGACTGGGAAGAAACCTCCCAAATATCCATCAATAGGAGAGAATGTTAAAAAAAATAAATAATGTCCCGTGCATATAAAGTAGTATTATACAATTGTTTAAAAAGAACCAAAAAAACTCTCCAATATGGAGATAATATAAAAATATCTCCAGTATCTCTCCAAGTGGAAAACACAAGGTGTAGAAGAGTGCAAAGTGCCTGCTTTGCTTACGATTCCACAAGGAACCCTGGAAGAAGCTGAGAGCCGCTTTCAGGTCTGGGGCGGGGCGGGGCGCGGCGGGCAGGCGGGCTGGGCGGCCACAGGATGCCTTTCCATCCTTTTATACTTTGACTGTGTGACTACATAGTTATTCCAAAAATAAGTAATTCTAAATAATTTAGGCTATTTTATTTTCACCTACCTCTATTAAAAAGCGACAAACCCAAGTTCTGACACGAAATCGGCTGTTCTCAATAATTTTTCAATGTTTCCAGTTCAGTACGCATACAAAACTAAGGGTTTCCTTTAAAATTACGAAAGAAGGAAAAGCCACTTGCGTTGGGCATGGGGGCGGCCATCACGGGGACCGTCACCACGGGGCAGACGACAGCGCTGGTTTCTGGAATGGTTGTGGCGCAGGCCGCGGAGACCGCCGGCGCCCGGGGGACCGCACTGCCGGCTGTGTGCCCTGCCAGGCCTGAGATAAGGCGGCCTCGAAATCAAGCCAGTTTGGGTCCTCAACAGGGACAGGGCTCTGGGTTTTGTTTCAGCTCTGACACAGAATAGCCTCCATGCCGCAGCCATCAAGGGCAAGTTCAAAACCGACTTCCTTGCGGAAGGCAGAGGCTGACGGGTCGTCAGGCGGGCACCGCCGAGTCACCCGGGCAGGCTGGCGCATCCCTCTGCGGGTTGGCTCGCCGGCAAAACGAGTGGGTCTCAGGCCAAATTCTTTCAAAGGTCCCTTTCGGGTCTAAAATACTATAACCCCATAGAGAGCCAGGTCAACTTAAAGCCCAGGGGAACAGTCAGAGATGCCGCTAGACCCGTGCATGCTGGTATGTGCAAGCTCACACACATGTCCAAGTACACAAAAGCTTGCTGGCTGGGGCGTGAATGCTCCGCTGCCTATTTTCTGTGTTCTACCTGCAACGTAAATAATTTGGTCCACTCGATGCAAAGATTTCTCTCGTACAAAATTTCTGATCGAAAGTGAGGGACAGCCCTGGCAGGTGTCCCCGGCGGGTCGGAGCGGCGTCCCGTTAAACTGCGATGCTGCCGTTGCTTCCCGGTCAGGGCACACGCCTGCGCTGCGGGTCCCACCCCCGGTCAGGGCGCGAGCGCGAGGCAACGGATCGACTGATGTTTCTCTCTCACAGGGACGTTTCTCTTCCTCTCTCTCCCCCTCTCCTCCCCTCCCTCTAAAATCAATAAGCGTGTCCTGGGGGGGGAGGATTTTTTAAAAAGGTAAAAAACGAGTAACAATTAGGTTCAACTTTAAAAAACTGGTAGAGTGGAGAGGATTATTTAAGACTGTAGGCATTGAATGTGTTGGCTCAGAAAAGACTTAGTTTGGTCCATTATCCTTCCATTACCATCAGCCAAGATTCATACTCATATTAGTATCCTCTGGGGAACAGCCTTCCCGTGCATCACCTGCGCGAATTCCCATACGCAACGGAGACGTGGATGCTCTGCAGCAGGCAAACTCTGCTAGAAACTCCAACCTCAGCAAGCCGTGCTCCATAACCTGATCAATAAAAGCTAAGTGATTTCAGAAAAATTAAAAAAAAAAATCGCAAATACTTGTGCTTATTTTCACCTATGAAAAAGCAAAACTCATGCTTCCTTGGCACCCGGTTCACACGGTCACAATTCGCTAGAGCTCCATTAAAACTCGGGTGACCCACCGCTGTACCTCAGACTGTTCTAAAACGGCTCTTGAGCATGCTCCGGTCTGCAAGGGTTCCTTCTCTGGCACCACCGCGGTGACAAACGCAGCTCTGGCAGGTGCTCCGCAGGGGCGCGGGTTCACTGTCTGGTTCCCCGCTTCCACCTGGCACAGCCAGGACACGCTGCTGGGAAGCTGGCTCGTCTCATTAGCATGTCTTTATTCTCCTGTCCAGTTCTGACACCTCTCCAAAATCACCAAAAGCCCCACCAGGTCCTAAGCCAAAGAGAAGGGGACGGTCACAGGCCCCCAGAAGTCTTGAGAAAAGCAACAAAAAACAAAGAGCAGAGTTGGTCGTGCACCAGCCGCAGAGCTGGCTGGTGCTCAAGCTTGTGAGCCTCTCCCCTTCGCTGTCAAAACCCTGCTCTGTCTCCAATGCCTGGTGCCTCAGCCCGGAGGCTGGAGACATTGCTCTTTTCAATGACTCCGAAGACAAACACAATACTTGTGTCCATTTGAAACGCCTGCTCGGGGTCCCGGAGCTGTCCCCATTCCGGACCCAAGGCTTGCTGCTACTCTGGCCAAGGAACAGCGCGGGTGACTCCTACTTCGATTCCCAAACATTTCTGTTAAATAAACACTTCTCGCTCCTCCTGACAGCCCCTTGAACAGCATCAGCACTGAAAACCCGTTTGCGGCCTCCGTCCTCCAGCAGCCAATGGGAGCTGTCCCCTGAGAAACCGAATTCGAACCGGCGCCTGTCCCTCCCGGGGCCTGGGTGCTTCGGCCAGGGCCCCCACCCAGCGCAGGTGCATGTTTCCGATGCCAAGCCTTCCTCCCTCGGCCCCTCAGCTCCCCAAGGGAAAGGGAGCCCCGGCAGGAAAGAAAGGGACTTGGCGCTGCGGCCGGCAGACGCTCCTGCGCCCAGGGCACCCCGCCCCTCAGGAGTCGCAGTCCCCCGGGCACGGGATCTGTCACGGGACAGCCTGGGCGCAGGCCGCTCACGTCCTCCGGCCGACGGCGGGCCCCCGCGGCGACCCCGCCGAGCCCCTCCAGCACCCCTGCATTCCTCCTGCACGACCACCCTCCCTCCAAGATCGCTCTGCGGCGACGGGGAGCGCTCGGTCCCCAGGACCCCCGGAGCCCCCTCCCAGCAGCGCCGCGACACCCTCCCCAGCCGAGGTGGCGCCCTCACCGGACTTCGGCGGGTAGCGGTACACGGAATTGGACGGGATGTCCACCTCCTCCACGCCCGCGTGCTGCCGGCTGGTCAGGGCGCCCATGGCCGCTGCTCCCGCGCCGCCTGGGCGTCTCAGCGTGGCCGCTCGCCCCGCGCCCGGAGCGGGGGTCGGCTGCCCGGGGCGGCCGGCTCGGCCTCGGCCTCGGCGTCGGCGCTGCGGCCCTGGCGGCGGGGAGCCCCCGGCACGCCGCGCACCATCCTCCGCCGGGCCCCGCCGCGGCGCCTCTGCGACGGGGGCTGCGGGTGGGCCGGGGGCGCCGCCGCCTCAGGCCGCGTGATGTCAGCGGCGGCTCCGCGCGGGGACCGCGGCGGCCACGGCCAATGGCGCGGCGGGGAGGGAGCGGCCGTGCGGCGCCAGCCAATGGGCGGCGGGATGCGGCGGAGCGGCGGCCGGGCTCGCGGCCTGGGCGGGGGCCGGGGCCGAGGGCGCGTGGCCCGGCGGAGCCCGCTCCTCTCGGCTCCGAGGACCGCGCGGCGCGCGAGGCCCGGCCGCGTCCGCTCCCCATTGTCCCCCAAACCCGAGGCGGCCCGGGGCTTCCTGGCCGGGAGGCAGCCGCCGGCAGCCCCAGCTAGGCATCTGCAAAGCCGATCGTCCGAACCCCGCAGAGGGGCGCCCACAGAGGGTTACGAGGCTTTGGCATCCCTCGCCCCACAGTGGGCGCCTCAGCCCCAAAGTGCACTGCCAATCCCGCCTCCCAGGGGTCAGGGGGAATGAGTCCGAGCTTGTGACCCGCCGTCCCTCTCGGGCAGCATCTTGCAAATCGCAGGATTCTACAGACGCCATCTGTGTATGGGGTCACGCGTCCAGCTCCGGCAGCCCTGGACTTAGGAGAGCATCAACCAAGATAAGATCCGGACAGTCGACCTCCGATGGCATCTTTTGAAAACTTTGAAAAGGCCCGGTTCCAAGGGAATCAACCCTGGGCAACGCAGGCAGAGCAGGGGCACTCTTCTTGATAAAACCCCACACCCGAACAGCGGGGAGCTTGGACAGACAGGAGACGTCATTCCAAAGCTTAATTACAGACACCTGTGTTTTAAACCTTTTATTTTATCTGTAGGTCTGGTGTGTTTTGTTTTGTTTTGTTTTTCCTGACAGGGTGGACTGATCAGCAAAAATTTCAGCTGCTAGAACATGACTTCACAACTCCTCAGCAAGGTTTAATGCACAGCCTGGGGTGTCTGGTCTCCTTGATTGGGTTAGGAACACCACTTTTTTAGAGTCTTGCCTTTGCCCGGTGACATTTTGCCTTTCCCATCGCCCTCTTTTCTGCAGTAGCCAACAGACCCGTTGCCTTGGTTTTCCCCAAGGTCCCAGGGTGGCAGGAGCTCCTCTCTGGTCATTTACATGGACCGACACGGAGCCAACTGAATGGCTGGGCGAGTCACCGGCCCAGACAGGATGCCAACAGCCTCTCCCGAGCCCCAGCGCTTCCGGCAGAGGTCAGAGGCCTCCCTCCAGCCCCGGGCCCCAACCACTATAAAGCTTCCAGACGTACCTTTGGGTGGGAACCGGTGTCCATCTTGATGCATCTTTCCCCACCCACGGTCCTACCTGTAATTACTGGGTAAAGGCAAACTACAAGGCAGGAAGTTTCAGGACTGGCCTTCAGCACTTCACAGAGCAAACTGCTGCCTCATAACCCTGGGCTCCGTTCAGAAACCTTTGTTCCTCCTGCTCTCAGCAATTTGTAAAGGGGTACCACCCCCCTTGGGGGTTTCTCTGTGCCTGAGGGTTGCTTCTTCCCAGCCAGAGCCAGGCACGGAAGGGGCTCCGTCGGGCCTCCGAGTCTTGCTGCTCCCACGGATCTCTTCCGGCCCCACCTCAGTCGGCCTGCAGCCCCCCAAGCCTATAAGTAGGTTTCACTGCCCACTGACGAGTCATGAACCGATGCTTGGAGCAGTCAAGAGAAACAAAGCATAGCACCATGACATCGGTGGACACCTACCGAACACCATGTGCCAGGCCCTTTTTAAAGCTTCACGCGCGCTGAAGCTTGCGTCCCTTGCGGCAATCCTATGAAGCGCACGCTAGTAACACTGGCATTTTATAGGTGAAGAAACTGAGGCAGAGAAAAAGCACTGGGTTTTGAGTTGGACAAATTGGCAGCCTAACCACTGGGTAATTTTGGACTCAGACCTGAGTAGCAAGTATCAGTCTCCAAAATAGGCCAGCCCTCCAGCAATATTTGAATTCAGGCTCAGTTAAAAAGAAAAAGGAGAAAGAGAAGAGGGAGAGGGAAAGGAAGAAGAGGAGGAGCAAGAGGAAGAAGGAGGAGGAGGAGAAGAAGCAGCAATGGCCAGCTGTCTAGGGTCATGAGACAGGAGAGAAAGGCATAGGAGGCAGTTCAGAGAAAATTCTAGATCAAAGAGACTTTCTGTGAACTAACTCAGAGCCCCACTTTCTACAATGTAGTCACAAAGTGCTACAGTTTGGGAAAAGAGAACTTTAGCCAGTGTCCAGGGCAAAGGGCAGATAAGCGCCCACGCCCCTGGAGCAGCCCCTCCGGCCACCTGTCCTGCATTCCTTTCTGGCCCTTCCTGGGCGCCACTTGGCTCCCTTGCTAGAGATCTGGGCCAGGGAGAAGGCCTGAGGGACAGGAGGGCACAGACAAGAGGGAAAAAAACCCAGAAGTGACTGCCCTGGGGAGAAGTATAAAAATGCCTTTAACATGAACAAACGGTCTGGGGAGGGTACAGCGTGCAGAGGGGACTCACCAGCAAACACCATGTACCCTTCGCGTAAACAGCCACGAGGCAGCCGAGGCAGCCCCGGCTGTGGGTGCCGCCCGGAGACTCCCAACAGAGCGCCCGGCGTTAAGGGTCTCAGGGGTTTCCTCTAAGCATCTGCGGAATGCAGGGAGGCAAAAGCCGAGAACATTGTTCATTGGGTCTGAGCCCTTCTCAACCTCGGGTCTGACGGAAAAAGGAGAAGTGTGCGGGGGAAGCACATGGACGAATAATTTCCAGGTCAGCTCATCCCTCTGGGCTTTTAATTTTGTTCATTTTGGCTGTCCTGGTTTCAGCTCACCTTTGTAACACATCCAGCCATTTCAAGGATTCTCCTGGATCCCTTTAACAGGAAGGAGAGAGCCTGAAGGGGAACAGCTGGCAGCCCTGTCTGGCGTGTCTGTAGCTCGGCATTCACAAGGCCGCTGGGCTGGGGCGCCCGCGGACAGGAAGGAGCGGAGCCGGGCCCCTTCTTGGCTGTTGGCTTGGCCTTTCCACACCAGCGAGGGGATAGGAAGATTGGAGCCCTGGCTGTTCTGAGTAAGCGCAGAGTCTCCCCAAAAGATAGGGCCCACCTTGGCTGGCGTGGCTGAGTGGACTGAGCGTCGGCCTGCAAACCAAAGGGTTGCCAGTTCAATTCCCAGTCAGGCACATGCCTGGGTGGCAGGCCAAGTCACCAGTGTGGGGTGCGCAAGAGGCAACCACACATTGATGTTTCTCTCCCTTTTCTTCTCCCTCCCTTCCCCTCTCTCTTTAAAAATCTTTAAAAAAACAAAACAAAACAAAACAAAACGATAGGGCCCAATAGCAGCCCACGGCCTCTGATCTCTCTCTTGATCCCTGGCCGTGGCTTCAGCGGATTAAAGCTAAAACCACCAACAGAGAACTCCGCATCCTGCTCCAGGTCAGTGGGCGAGGCTGTGCCAGCTAATCCCTACGAGGGCCATCCTAAGTGCTTAAGGACCCTGCAGACGGTTCCTCTGGCAGCCTGAGGTCCTGCTGAGGGAAACGACCTCGCCCCCTGGGAAACCAGCAATGGGCTTTCACAGTTTGCTTCTGGCCACCTGTGAACGCCTCACTGTTAACTTCCTCTTCTGCTATGTGCCATTAACAAAGGAGACCTGTTCAAAGAGCTGTAAACTCCACGGGTTTGTAGCTTCTTAATCTACTTTTCCAGCGAAGACCCAAATGGAAGACAGCACGGCCGGGCCCAGGGGGAGGAGCGCGAGCGCCTAGAGAGCGACCCTGACGTTGGCGCTCACTCTCAGTGCCAGGCGGGTGCTTGGCATCAATCCCCCTCGAGGACCAGTGTAAAGGATTAGTCCATTCTCTCTGCCTCCGCTTTGCCCCAAGTCATTCCTAGCAAGCACCAGGCCTGGTGAGCTCCTTTCTGTGCACACAGTCACCTCTGCCTTCGCTTATCCTGCCCTGCTTTTGGTTTGGAGCTCAACCCCACACACGGCATGAAAGAGCCAGTGTGAAAATGCAGCAACACTTTTCAGCCCAGTAGGTACAGATCAGCGGCCCCTCTGCCCTTCTCGGGCAAACACACCAGGCCGGGGAAGAGCCCAGCGTCTTCCTCCTGCTGCGCGGAGGAACCAGGATGGAGGCGCAGCGTGGTGCCAGCCCTCACGCCACTCGAACAGATGTGCAGCCGCCGTCACTAAGACACAAACGAAGAGGAGGAGAACGAATTCTCTTCCTTCTCCCAGGGCTCCTTGACAATGGGTGTTTGGGTTGGAGCTTCAGACCTGGAAGAAGCCTGAAGGTCATGGAGTCCAGCGCCCCGCCCCAGGGAGACGAGCAGCCGCAGCTCAGCGAGGGGCGCGAGGGGTGCGCGGCTGCTCAGGCCCGGGAACCCGGGCGGCAGGCACTGGGCCTCGCAGTGGGAAACCCGTGCTGCTGGTTGGGTTTCTTTTTTTCTCTGTTCTTCTTTTTTTTTTTTCTTTTTGGCGGAGTAGGCTGTCTTTTAGAGCCCGTGCCAGAGGAGAGAGCAAGTCAAGGACAAAGCTCAGAATCCTAGCACAAGTGCAGTGTTGACGCGCAAGAGTCGGTTCCTGCACGGAAGCTGTCATCGCGGGCCTCAAGCCGGGGTAAGCGAGCCCCGCAGCTTCTCTGAGCCGCAGTCTTCTGACCCCTCCCCCCCGACTCCCCTGAAACTGGAGCCGAGGCCATAGCCACCCAGCTCCTCCCAGCGCAGGCACCAGAGGGTGAGGAGAAAAAAGGAGCGTCAGCCACCAGGCGTTCGATAGGTTCTCAACAAGTAGGTTAAGAGTGTCATATACACACACATAGTGTGTCCTTGCTAAAGTCTGAGTCCGGGCTAAAGTCCACCACCCGCCAGCAATCCAATGACCTCATTTACAGTGACACATTTATTTCTGAGCTAATTGCTTGTCTAGTTAAGTGATAACCACTCTCCTCATTAGGGAGCCTGACAGTAATAAACAGAAATGCTCCTTACTGTTGTGGTTCCCACAGTAAACTGTTGGAAGCCTTAGATCTTTTAAAGGCACCATGAGGTGTATGTTTATTATATTGCTTAGTTGTATACTGTTATCTTTTATATTCCAAGATAAAATCT